GGGAACATGTTTTTCCTTCGAGCAGTTTTGGTTTTGACTGTTCCCCGCTAAACGCAAAAAAGTGACACTCCCAAAAGTAAACCGTGTTTTACTTTGGGCAGTTTTATTTGCTCTGCATGGGTCCAAAAGCTTGACTTTTTACTTCTTTCACTTCTACTGAGGCAAGGCACAAAAGGTAAAACGTCCACAAGTATTTGTTGCTGGGCAAAATGGAAAAAAAGAAGTAAAACTGCTGGACCCATGAAAAGTGAAAAGTAAAAAGTGTGAAAAGGACTTCGTTTACTTTTGCAGGGAAACAAACAACATGGTAAAACTGCCTGAGGTTAAAACATAAAACATGGGAGTGTTACTTTTTAGTTTTCATGAGTGCAACAGTTTGCCTTTTGTCCTTGTTCTTTTTCCTGGGGAAAGTTAACAAAGTAAACAGTGTTTTGCTTTTCGGAGTTCTACTAGTTTTACTTTTACATAAGCAGCTTGAAGCAAGAACAACTTTACTTTTGGCAGTGTTACTTTTGTTCTTTTGCTGGGAAAAGTAAAAAAACAACTAAATCTATTGAAGTATACAATTGTCTAATGTTCACACCTTTACTTTTTGCGTTGCATGCGTCCAACAATTTGACTTTTATGTGCTTGCTTTTACTGGAGAAAGCTAAAACAGGGTAAACTTCCAGAAGCAAAACGGGCCAATGAAAAGTGACAAAAATGAACATGAGCATGTTTCCAGTGTTTCTCCATTTTTGCCGAATCTAGCAGGAAATTCCATTCATGTTTCACCCGCCAGAAGTGGATACGTATGCATTCATTTTGCCACTGTGTTGGGTCTACGGGATGCACAAGCTGCTTCAAAACGGCCCCATCTGCATCTGCAGCTACAAGAAGCGTGCTGACTACCGTTGCATCCTTACAACAAACATTATGATTCATTGCTGTATCATATTCTAAATCAATTAGTTCACCACACAGTGAAGACATGTTTCCACTGGTTTAGGTCTACGGGATGCACAAGCTGGCCCCATCTGCATGTATTCAATGTCTTGGTCGTATTCCAAAACAATTAGCTCGCAAAACTGAGAACAAGTTAAGAACTCGCGAAGGTCCAAACAAAAGTCTTAGAGTTAAGTCTGAAGCCCCAGCCATGGGTCAAAAACCAAACCGTACCCCCAAAAAATTTGGTTCTAAAATGGGTGAGCACCTATCCCAAAATGGGCTCCCATTGGTTTTGACAACCACAGCCATGTGAGATCTCCAAGTTCCAATTCTCCAAGTCTTCGTCCACCTACTTGACATCTACCTGCTGTCGGTTGTTTCGTCAAAAGTTGAACCGGTCCAGTTGAACGCAGAGGTAGTTGTTCTTCTGCTAAATGCTGTAGCTTCAACTGATATAAAACGCCATCAAATACGTTTAACTCAATTAAATGACCTGTGCTTGCATGAATATACTCTGCAGATCTATATGTCGATATACCCTTCTATTCCAAATAGTTGCATGGTGCATCGCAAGTGTTTTTGCTAGTGGGAAAAATCACTTCAGCCAACGCACCTTCTGCAACTGAAACTGCATGTTTACCTAGCAATACGTCATATGGGTGCACTAAAAGATATCTTGTAAGGTACGCGCTACCTGCGATTCCTGCATCACGCAAGACTCTGGTAAACGATTCATATTAGAAGTCCCAAGGGTTTAGTACTGCCCTTATTGCTCCTTTTAGTGCACATCTAGAAAACCATTTGTTTTCTGGAACAGAGGGTCTCTTCGTCATTTGCTCAATACATGCTATTGTGGATAGTTTAGGAGTCTAGTAGCTATCTGTCAAGGCGTTGTCTGTCTTACCTGGAATGTGTACGACAACTCCGTCAACCCGCATATGGGCCCCTGGCTGGCTCTCAGCGGCTCGCGGCCCTTGAAGTGAGGTGGCAATTGCCTTAGGAAAAACCCAGCTGTCAGCTTCTCCAAGAGATTGAGCAAGCAGGTTGGGTGTGCTTATTTGAGGCTGGGTACCCAACTGTTGGGGTTGGTTTAAAGGGAAGCCCAAAGAAAACCAAAACCCATGTGAGTCATAATCAAAACCCGGTATCAAAAAGGTCTAACCAGAACCACGTAAATAATTAAGAAGGCGGCCGCAACTATTTATGGTTAGGATTGTCCCCTACTAACGTTCATCTACCCGAGTTTTGATTGTGGCTCATGTTATGGACCCGGTCCCAAACCCTGATTTTGACAAGCCATACAGGCCATAAGCCTGCAACGGTGGCGCCGGGTTGAGGTACTTCATGACTTGATGCCTGGCGAGAGTCGCCTAAGCATAAACTGCATAAGCAAAAGGGAGCGCTGGCTTGTCTCACAGGGGAACCCTAAAATGGATCCAAATGGGCAGTGTTCCCTTTAAACTTCCTTCAAAAAGCAAAACACAAACGAATTGGGGGTCTCGGGATAGGGATTCATATCAAAACTGGCTTCGGTTGTCCCTTTCGTTTCCTTTTGAAACCATTCCAAAAAGGGCGCCGAGCCTCAGACAAGTACACACCCATCTGGAAAGCACCGCTTTTCAACGTGGGGTGTGTGTGTGTGTGTAGGGTTCCCTGTGCTTCCCCTAACATCACCAAAAGGAACCAATCTGAAATCTGGCCCAAAAAGTCACTACAAAAAGGGAAACTAAAGGGGAACCTGGTGTATCCAGGTTCTATTCCTGGTCATGTTGAACCAAACCTGTGTCGAGCATCCATCCCGCTTTTTCATCGAAGGAATGTTCGCACAGCCGCAAGCAGGTCTTCACCTCGATTCGGGGGATGGGTTTGTCACGTCAGGCGGCATCGGGTGACGAATCCAATGGCTCTGAGGCGCCCGTATGCCATTTGACCACCTTGGCCACGACCTTGGCTGGCGGGTCAGCTCGTTCAGGGATAAACATCGTCCCTTGGTGTTGTTGGTGTTTCCCCAGGCCTTATTGTTGGCTTTGGGTTGGTTCAGGGTCGGCATAGGATGGGTTTAGGGTAGATTTGGGGTATGTTTGGGGCTTGAGAGTGGACGCACAATTACTTGGTAAGATGAACTCAAAATCTGGGGAGACCCACGACACTGAATCGATGAACCTCCGTCTCCGTCGCCCGAGCCTGCGATGCAGACGGCGGGTCCGTCAAGCGGTCCAGAAGCCCGAAGCGCTTCAACGGGGGCGAGGGCGGCGCGCGGCACAGCAGGAGGTCCTCCGGGCCTTGGCCAATTTGGGCACAGCAGACATGAGTATGTATGACGAGTATGTGTCAACATATTTGGACCCCCCAAATCGGTTGTGGCCTTCCGGCTTACCTTGAAAACAGTCCCAACAAGGGTACCAACAAAACCACCCACACAGCCACATGGAAGCCCAAACGTCTTTTACCAGCTGACGCGATGGGAACCAGTTCGTTTGTCAGAACCCTTTGAACGGATCCCCCGAATCAAGACTTGGAAGCGGGAATCCGATAACACAAAACCCAGTAGGGCATGTTGGAAGGAAAAATTAGAACATACAAGCACTATTACCATGTACTTTGCCCACTCGAGGACTGAAACAGGGGCCTGGACCCTCAAACCACCCATAAGAAGCCTGTCGTTGCCCAAAAATATGGGGATTTCCCAATTTCAAGGGCAGTTTGAGGATCCAGATGTGGTTCCCGCGCCTTCAGGGGTGCCCCAATTTTCCACCGCGCCGCGCAGTTGGCACGCTGGGCAGAAGTCCCCAGATCCGTCGCCCACGTAGCAGATGCGCGAAGGCCCCTCGCGGTCAAGCAGTTGCCGCAAGACCTGGCCCTGAGCCGAAGGAGGTGGTCTCAACTTTTTGACCAAGATGGACTGAAACCCAGGGGTTCTTTCTCCTTTTGGGAGGAATGAACCCCTGATTTTAAGCCTACCCCGGGGTAGTCAGAAAGTGGAGCCCTGGTCTCAACCGTAGGGGACATAAAAGGGTTACCCTCAAGAAAGGCCACACCTGAGTGATGGTGTCAGTACATGCAGCGCAATTATTGAATACAACGTGTCTTGAGTTACACCAAATCGACGCGAGATGGCCTTGCACAAATTGCTGGGGCACAGTGCGCATCCGGGAGGTTCCGCCTCAATCCATTCCAAGCTGAAACAAGATTCCCTGCTCGGGCATGATGTCATCATCAATTTGCCAAATCCGTCCATTCTATATCCAAGCAGCATGAAACGGCTTGATGTGAAGCCTCCCCTCACCATCAAACTCTGCTTTGTTGGAGATGATGTCCTCGAAACATGTCCCAGCTGCGCGCACCTTCTTGATGAACGGTGCAGACATCTCACACGGACGTGTGCAAAGCCAGCGCTCCGAGATTTGGTTCAGACATTTTTGTTTGCAAGGCTTTATGAATATGTCTTCTCTGACTGTATGCCTTTCCCACAGTTTTCCGCTGAATTGCCGACAAGAAGCAGAAAAGCAGCGCCGCAAACCTTCTTTCTTCAGAAAGGCCTGAGCACGAAGCTCGGGAGAATTATTTGAAAGTCCCGCTTTTTCGGGGTTCAAAGAGGGTGGGCTGCTCAGGTGACAGCTGCAAGAGAGCCATTCCCTGCCTCTATGAATATAGTGTTGGCATCGCTGAGAACCACTTGGCGGGCCTGAGCACAGTGAAACTCTTGCAAAGGGCATCGCAAAGCCGAGTAATCAAGCAGAATGACCAGTTCAGGAAGCTGTGTTGCAAACCGTTGCCAACCTCCAAATTGGGCGGGGTGGCAGCATCTTCGGGTTCCCGTGTCCTTGTCAAGGGCACCCTAAAATGATGGTAATCCTTTTGCTTTGGCTTCAAAACCACAAAAAAAAAAAAAACGTACCCCATTTGGAGACAAGCCTGCCTCTTGCCGAAACCAAACAAAGAGTTGTCTCACATATTTGCAATCAGCTGGACCATCTAGCAGCCGCTCTCCCATCAGTCTGGGGAAGCACATCTCAATTCATTTGAAGCCCTTTTGGGGGCAAGATCCCTTTCGGTGCTTCCCCCAACCTGTCCGCTTTTCCGAGAAAACAAAAGTCGCCTGGGCGGCGTTCGCCACTGCGACCGCCTGCAGGCAGCCCGGCAGCACTGGGACCTGAGCGACCACCGCCTCCAGCTCGGAGCCTCGGATGTGAGCTTTGGACGCCCCCAAAATGGCCTGGGGCCTTGAAGTTTTTTGGGCTTCCCCTTAAGAAAAACAACAAAACAAGGGGGGTACCCTCCCTTTGAAATTCTAGTTTTTTTGGTTGGTTTGGTCGGCTTTTTGGGTTGGTTGGTTTGGTTTGGCAACCAAAGAAAGGGACCAAATCAACAGCAAGACACGCCCAGCTACCCTAGAAGGTGGACATTACCCACCATAGTTTGGGGGCGTGCCCCATTTGGGGAAGTTTCTTCTGGGTCCAGGTGGAAATCAAAGGTGATCGATCTCACCTGTTGGGACGAAATATGTTGCACGGCAAAACGAAAGGTCCAAAGGTTGATGCGATGGAGCCCACTTTGAACAAGCCCACCCCCAAAGGCCACCCCTCCGGCCTTTCTCAGAATGGACCCCCCTTTGATCGGCATTCGAAGCCATTTTAGGGAAACATTACTGTAGAAACTTAGAAACCAAAGGAAACCAGCCACTATTGTAGGGAACCACTTTTTTGGGGAACCACTAATGGCAATAAAAACCCAAACGAAACCAGCCATTTCAGGGGAACGATTCCGATTTTGACAACCCCCCTTCTCGGGATGAAACACCTTGAGAGGGTAAGGCGAAGTGTGTGGGTGTGTGGGTGTGTGGGTGGGTGTGTGGGTGGTGGTGTGGGTGGTGGTGTGGGTGGTGGTGTGGGTGGTGGTGTGGGTGGTGGTGTGGGTGGTGGTGTGGGTGGTGGTGTGGGTGTGGTGTTGAGAGCTGTGTTTGAACTCGCTTGTTCTTAGTACGTAAATATGGGAATGACCTCTACCCACCACTATTAGGTTCTAGATGATTGAAGGTCCACGTCCACATTCCCCAAGGACAAGTAAGGCAAATCATAGTTGTCCTGGAAACTTATTCTGGACTCATTCTGGGTTTCTTGGTGCCAGGAAACGGGTGACACCTCTCGCAAAGAGCTCCTTGACTTGCGAATCCATGAGCTCTGTCCAGCCTGCAGTGCACCCACAAGCCTCAAATTATTTTGTCGTTGGAACACATCCTCCATACAGGCGCAGAATACTTTTGCTTAATTACGGACCGTTTGGTTGTTGGAAAATCCCAAGGCCACGGCTTGCTCTGGAGGGCCCAGGAAATCCCCTTCAAACTTGCACAAACACTCGCTAAAGTCATTGACGATAATATTTGGAGATCACCAACCATAATTTTGGCACACCCTTCCAGCTGGCAGGCAGGCTGGCAGCAACTGCTTGGAAGGCGCAAGTTGGCAAAAACTGCCCCCCCCCCCCCCCGCTTCGGGTTTGGCGCCCTCCGGCAGCACCGGGTTTCTGATTGCAGAAAGAACCAGACAACTAAAGTAACTACAACCAAACCAATACTAAGAAGTACTAATACTAGTTCCAGAAATAGGTGCCCCGTTTCTACATTACCGGTTGAGAAGCAGTTGATTAGAAATTATTTGTGCTGTTTCAACCGCATTGGCAGTATCGGTCCTCTTCGGTCCTCTGTGTAATATTTGTCAAGATTTGGCTTAGCACTGGAGACTGACTAGCTTGCTACCTTTCGGAATGCGCCAGGGATACTGTTTTGTCAACTGCTAGCCTGGGACCCTTGAACAAACCATATGGCCATGAAACTACTTGTGAGGGCGCAATGTAGCGTAGAACGCCAAACAGCCGCAGCTCCAGCTCGAAAGCCGCAACTGTTCAGCGCAAACGCAGTATGCCGAGCACACCTCCGCAGCTTCAGCTTGAAAGTTGCAACTACTCAACGCAAGCCAAGTGACGGCAAAAAACGGATCGCGGGCCCGGGCTGGTTGGGTGTGCAACAAAGTATGTAACGGCTATGTAACCAGGTGTATAACGAGGCATAGCGCGGAAAAAAGACTGTTTTTCTTCCGGCCCTTGCTCCAACTTTTTTTTCTGAATGGCAAGCTCTCTGCAAGTTGACTCTTCAGCGATGGCACGCTCTGCAAAAGTCTGCTCCGCAGGCACCCATGGGAAACATGCAGCAGGGCACTCAGGCAACCAGCAAGGCAGTCTTTTTCATGTGAGGTAAGGATATGTAACGAGGGGCGCGTAACAAGCCAGCGGGTCTGGTTACAGGTCTGCAACGATGTCTGTGACGAATGTCCGCCGCGGTTCTGTTAGAGACCCCTTAA